GACAGAATCTCCCTCATCTGATAGATCTTAATCACATATCCTCTGACCTAAGTCTGTGCAAACAAAGAAAACTTTTCCCCCATGATCTTCAAAAATGGCCCTAACTATTCTTCAGAAGTGTTGCTGCAATACTGATTTATCTCACTATATAATCTGGATGATGAATTCTTAGAGAAATTTGTATTTCTCCTGGTATCAGGGTGACTGCCTAGCTAAGACGAGCTGACTCAAAGTAGACCCAGACTGAGGCTGGGAAGAATGACACCAGGGAAACAACATCTTTAAATATGTAGGCAAGGCCGTCTTCGACAGTGGCCTTGGACAAGCATAGAATCTCCATGGACATTGTGTAGGGACACAAATTACATCATTAGAGGTGACAAGAGACATAGGAACTGAGTTAGGTGGCCTCACAGATACCTCCTATACAGCTCATGTACACAGGTGGCTATGAATTTGTCCCACCTGCCTGTGGTCCAGTAACCTGATATTGGGGCCAGGGAGAAGTGGAAAGCTCTCTGACCCACTGACATCTGTATTGAATATTCCATCCTAGACCTCCCTCCTTCCTTCTCTCCTTCCCTCCCTTCTTTTCTCCTTCACTTCCTTCCTTCCCTCCCCCTCCTGACCGACCGACTTCCTTCCTTCCTTCCTTCTTTCATTTTTGAGACAGTGTCTCTCTCTGTCACCCAGGGTGCAGTGCAGTGATGCAGTCATGGCTCACTGCAGCCTCAGCTTCCTGTGCACAGATGGTTCTCCTACCTCAGGCTCCGGAGTAGTTGGGACTACAGGTGTGAACCACCTTGCCTGGGTAATTTTTTGTATTCATTACAAAGCTGGATTTCACCACATTTCCCAAGCTCATCTTGAACCCTTGAACTCAAGTAATCCACCCACCTGGGCCTCCCAAAGTGCTGAAATTACAGATGTGAGCCACTGCCCCCAGCTTCACCCTAGTTTCCTATTCAAATCAATGGGTTTGTATACAGCCTGCCCTCAGAATTGATCTTCTTAATCTAGACAGAGGTACGAGGGATAAAGAATATAGAGGCTACCTGGGAGAATGTTTGGAGCTTCCTCCTCTTCATCCTGAGAAAATTCACTGTCTACAACCAGAGCAGGGTCGACTTTGTCTCCCTCAAATGTGACTTTGGTGCTCCTGTGAGGCTGGTTGCAGTCAGAAGCGCCGTGGCTGTTTGAACGAGGGACAGCACATTCCTCCAGTGAGTCCTGAGGGACTTCCTTTTCCTCAGCCCTCTGTACCTCCCTGATGCATCAGGTAGGATAGAGATGACAAAGAGTAAACCAAGAGGGATTGGACCCCAGGAGTTCCCAGCTGGTTTTGATGGAAGGCATAAGGTAGTGGTCCCAGAAAGCAAAGGGGAGGTTCCATTTAAGACGGAACAGGCAGTCCTCCTCTATCTGCAAAAGAGCATGGCTGCCTTGGGAACCAGAGAGGAAGAGAGCAGCTGGTGTTCAGTGCACTGGACAGACAGGAGCTGACGAAGGCAGAGGCTCAGCTGCTTCTGTATGGTACAGCCTTCACAGCACTCACACAGAACCAAAGACAGCTGCCACACTGTGTGTCTAAGCTGGGTTGTATTTAACATGCTGTGGCCAAGGGAATACAGGTGTCTGAGCCTTGGTAGACTCTGGAGATGGCGTGCCTGGTAGATTTTTTTTTTAATTTTCACATTGTGATGTGAAATGTAAAGTTTTCCTGGGCACTTTTCTTGGTGTTTATCTTTGGTAGGTGTACCCTAATTCCTCTGCTTCTTGTCTCTTTGTTATTTATCTTCCCTAACAAGAGTCTAAGGACAACCATGTGGAAGGTGGCTTTCCATCTCTTCCTGGCTTCACTACAGGGGAGGACAGGTCTCCTCTGTGTGTGCAGGAAGTCCCTAGGGCTAGTGAGTTCATCAAGAGCCATGCTTACAGGTGCCATGAAGACAATGGACACTCATGTTAACGGGGCTATTTTCTTGTTGGTGAGTGCATGAAATCAGTGCACTCTGCAGCTGTCTGTACCCTCATCTGGAATCTGTGACTACCTTCACCTACCTCGTGTTCTTTCTGAGATCTTTTCCATGTTTTACCAACCACTACCCACTCCTGATTATTCAGTGTTACCTGGGGGCAGGTATTTCCTGTCCTTTCTCAACCTCCTCATCTGTAACATCGTCATCTTCATCTTCATCACTTTCTGCAAATACAGAAGCGCCTATTCAGATATTTCCCACCTCACCCACTGGAAGCACAGTCAGCCCTATGTGCACTGAGACATGAACATCCATGTATGGGTCTGCATTGTACTGAAAACTCTCCTGTTTATCTCTCAAAAATGCCCTGGCATGATCTCCTAATCCATGAGGGAATGTGTTTTTGAACTGGAGGGTCACCATCAAGATGTGGCTAAATATTGAAAAGACTTCTTGCTCCCCACATTACTGGAGGCTTGTCCAGCCTCTCTCTAAGCTTCAGCAGCTGTCTTCTCAATCCTGCCACTGTTCAGACACCCAGGCACAGGCTCTGTGACCTGTCACAGCTTGCATTACAACCTGTGTCTTTCTCTTAGGACAGGACAAACAAACTTGTCCCACAATGCTCCATACATTGGGGACTTCATGGGCACTCCAAATGACTTCCACTGTGCTATCCAGGGACACTCTCTCCATGGAGTGCTCCAGTCTAGACCACTTCCTACCACCAAATGCCTCCACATCAAGTGCCTTCTCCAACACCACACAGCAAGGGGCTTTATCTCATTGTGAAATATTATAGTCGTAAGTGTTCCCACATTTGAATGCAAGAGACAATTTGTCTGCCTTTACAGATTTAGAGACAGGAACTCAGGAAGTATAAATTAATCAGTTCCTCACAGTTGCTAAAGACATTGCTGAAGATAGAGCCTAGGAACATGCATTCTTAGTCCAGGGCTCTTTTTAATCTAACAAGCTGCCTCCTGTCACAGTCTCCTTCCTGTCCTTTAAAACTGGGCAGATGCTGCATCTTGCCCCAAAGACCATATTCCAGCAAGAAATGAGGGGACATTTGCAATCATGTGACCTACAGCCCCATGGGTTTCCCATCTCTGTTTTTGCCCAGGAAGTCCTGGTCATGTCATGCTACAAATTTTTAGTGGAAAGAAACACTACCCATAAAATTGCCATTGAGGAGGTGTGGAGGTCTGGGGACATTCATAAGCCTGGGGCTGTGTGTCATCAGGGCCTGTGTCCACCTTACCTGGGCTGAGCTTGTTGACAAGACGCTGTGCCAGCCTGTGCCCCTCAGCCAGCTGCTCTCGGAGGTCCTGACCCTGGGACTTGTCAGGGTCACCAGGAGTGAGGAGGGCCTTTAAATGCTGATTCAGTGAGCTGGAGGCATCTCTCCCTTCCCGTAACTTCTCCCGTAACTGGGTCAGCTCTTTTGCCTGAGAGTGAATCAGGGCTTTATATTGCCTACGGTGAGATAGCAGAGAACGTTTAATAACGGAAAGGGATGAGTGATCAGTTCTAATACTGCAACGGAGGTTTATGTGAGAATGTCCTCAAGGAGCCCTCCAAGCAGAAGGTCACAACATGTTTAGGGAAATGCCTGTCCAACATATATATATATATATATATATTTTGTGTGTATATATATATATATATATATATGGAAACAGGCATTATAATATACAATATAATATTGTATATATAATATACAAATATATATGTATATTTATATGTATATAAATATACATATATATTTGTATATATTATATATTATATTATATATAATATATTATAATATTGTATATTATATTATATATAATGTACTATATAATATATAATATATAATATATACAGGCATTAAATATACATATATACAAACATATATATGTATGTTTGACAGGGCATGGTGGCTCATGCCTGTAATCCTAGCACTTTGGGAGGCTAAGGCGGGCACATGACCTGAGGTCAGGAGTTCAAACCCAGCCTTACCAACATGGTGAAACCCTGTCTCTACTAAAAATACAAATATTAGCCAGGCATGATGGTGCATGCCTGTAGTCCCAGCTACTTGGGAGGCTGAGACAGGAGAATTGCTTGAAATCTGGAAGCAGAAGTTGCAGTTAGCTGAGATTGTGTGACTATACTCCAGCCTGGGTGACAGAAATGAGACTCCATTAAAATATGCATATATATATTGTATACAAATATATTGTATTTATATATACAAAGGCTTCCTCTGTATCAGAGAGAGCTCCTGTAAGATCCTCTGTGATTTTCCATTCATTTATTTCTTCTGTAAACAAAAGTCATTGACTTCTCAAGTCAGTTTCAAGGGGATGTCCTTTTACCTCCTCACTTTGGCCATGGACATTTCTATGTGAAAATTCTCATAGTGCATCTTGCAGTGACTGGAAACAGAGCTGTGACCAGATGTAGATGAATTGGAAAGATGAAAGAAGAAAAGAATGGCAGGTCAAGAAGACAATATTGATTGAACGAATGAGTTGCTGCAGTCAGTCAGGAGGTGACTCTGACTAAGAGTAAATGGGCGGATATCACATACCATTTTGAGTGTATTAAATGCTGCTGGGTGGTTCATTTTCTTTGACTGAATTTTGTATATGTAAATTTCAACTCAACAATTAGTTGTTTTAAAGAGAGAAACCGAAGCTCAAGAAACAACTGCAACCCGTAACTTGCTAAGATTACTGTTCTGTTTTATGAGTGTTTGTGTGTAATGTGCCTGCCATGTAAATGCCTGCCCTTGCCCTGGCCCAGCTTAGCTCCTGCTTCTCCCAGCTGAACTGCTGCACTTCAGAGATCACATCCCGGCCCACCTGCCTGTCCCCACGGCGTCTGCTCACCTGAGCTCCTCAGCTTGCCTGAGCTTCTCTGCCAGCTTCTCCTCTATGAACTGCACTTCATCCCTCAGCACAGAGTCTATGATGTCTTTGTCCTCTTCACTCCCTGAGAAGAGACAGTCATGCCTGCCTCAGTGGAAGGCTGGACATGCTGGTGTGGTCACTGCCTGTAGGGCAGGTGGCAGTGTCTATCCCAAGGACAAAAGCATCCCCAGTACCAGATTGTAGTGAGGGATCTTTTTCATTTTTTATTATCAACTTCCCAACTTGCTGGCATCTGACACTCTCCAACTTAGAGATGGGGAAAAAGAAACTCATTGACACATCAAGTAACTTGACAGAATCATTCACCTGGGATGAGGCAGAGTCAGAATTCATAGCCCCTGAGGTCTGGCTCTGAATCCTGGGACACTTTTCCAAGCCTTGCAGCCTCTCCTGTCAAACACTCTACTGGGGCATGAAGTAGTGATATCCTGAGTAGTAGGAAAGGCCCTTGGGACTATGGGACTCCTGGATTCCCTGGTACTGGGAATTTCAAGCACATATATGTCAAAGATTTAAAAAATCATATCTGAATATAATTGCATGAAATAGGAGGCATAAGACCCTGAGGTCATCATAGAAATATGACCAAATACTAATAAAGTTTGAATTAAGTTAGAAACAGTAGAAGGAAGAACTAATAGATAGTGCTTACTCTGTGCCAAGAATTGTTCTGGGAGATTTAGAAGAAACAAGTCATGTAATTCATTGCAGCAATTTACAGAGGTAGGTATTATTATAGTACCCAATGAACACATGAGAAAACTGAGGCACAGAGAAGATAGGCCACTTGGATGGAGCCCAGGAGACTGGCCCAGGCTCCCTGCTCTGCACATGGCACTGCTACCTCCCCAATGTCTTACGTGCCGTCTTTCTTCCTCTTTAGAAAAAGAGCCTGTGCCCCAGGAAACAGGACTTCCTTCTCCCCAGGGTACTCCCTGCTCTTCATGCTGTTACTTATGGATTCCACCGTTACTATTGGGAGCAGTCGCCTCTTTAAGCTCCTTAGAGCAGGTACTCTGTACTGTTGCCACATTTCCTCTGGGGTTCCCTGAAGAGAGGTTTGCCTATTGGGCCTCAAAGAAGCTTAAACAGAATGGCCATTCCTTAGTTCCAGGCCTTTAGACCAACAGAGTAGATGTTATTTGTCTGCAGGGTCTTCTAGAGTACAGAGAGCATTCTCATAAACATGATTGAGCATCTTGCTGAGAAAAGCAAGTGGTTCTGTGCCTGTGTCAGAGGTCAGTAGGCAGGATTTTAACTCTAGTCCCACCGCACATCGGACTGCTAATGTGGAACAGTTGCTAAGTACGTTGTGCCTCTGTTTTCCATCCTTAACACAATCAAGTTAAAATACCCATTTCTGTTTTCCTAGAACTAAGGAAAGGATGAAATTAATTTTGTTGAAGTGGCTGTTCAGTGTCTCAGAGAGAAGACGGGTGCTGATTCATCACTTTCGTGATGGTGAATCTATAAAGCTTACCATATTTCTTTAGTTGCTTGGCCAGAGAGTAGGCAGTAGCCTGACTTATAAGAAATTTTTCCTTGAGGTCTTCAAACTGCTGTTGGCTCTCTGCCAGCTGGGAGCGCAATTCCTGGTTGATTTCTAGGATTTTCATCTCTGCCCTGTCATGGGACAAATGTGTGGCAGTTACCACCATGCTGATGTTTGTGCCAGGACAGTTCAAACAGGGACTGGGGAGAAGAAACCTAAGCACATGATGGATCAATAACTAGTGAAATCAACTAGGTTTAGTCAGGACTGAGGGATGACCACACCTGGTATTGTTGACTTACCGTTGCGAAGAACTTAATCAACACCCCACAGCACTTTAGAATCCTTAACAGCAAAAACAGCGTTTAGGATGCCTGAGCTCAGAGCCAAAGGCACTGCCTGTAGCTCTGCCTCTGACAAGACTGAGAGAGGTCAGAGCCAGCGTGCCAGGTAACCGTCGGCAGTTGCAATAACAGAATTCGAAGGTGGGGGTGTCATGGAATCTCAGGAGCCCTGCATTCCAACTGCCCAGGCTGTGCTGAAACCCAAGGCCCCCTGGTCTCACCTGAGAGTCAATGATGGGGACCATTTCCTCAGCAGTCTTTCAGTATTTGTGCACCTTTGTGACAGTGCGGCAGACTCACCTCTTTCTCCATACATCTAAGCATATTCCTTGTTGTTCATATTGTGTGTGTATAAAATCATCAAGGTAGAGATAGTTTCCCAAGAAGTTACATTTACCAACCCACTATTTACCAAGAATTTAACAAACGCCAGATGCTTTATTTATATTGTTGGTAATTCTTACAATGCTGTACAATTTTCATTCCCATTAAAAACCCCAAGAAGTCTGAGTCAAGGATCTGAACCCAAATCAATCAGATACCAAAGCTTATACTCTTAAAACCTGCATGTAACACAGTAAAAAAAAAGTCTTACTCTGTTTATGTATAAGGCATATGTATGCATACAGTATTTATGCAATGCTTCTGTCACATTAAAATTTCATGGTGAGGGAGCATTTAGAAAAAGAATTTTTGAAAAGATTCCTTAAGAAGGCAATAATGAAAAAAAAGTTGAGCGATACCATCTTAGTGGAACCTGGAGTTCTGAATGTGTTACTGGTGCACTTTTACTGGTGTGGTTCTGTCATCAAAAACTCACCTTGAGCCTGCATGCGAGTTCTCACCAAAGCCAAAGGGTAGCTGGCTAGCTGACCGCAGGTGCTGGATAAGGCACCACATCCCAGCAACACCATGACTCCGGTGTTTACAGAGTCTTTTGCAAAATTATCCAGCCAATAGGACTTCAAGAGCTGCCAGATAAATAAAGAAGAAAAATAATAAACAATGAACTCTACAACTTCACTCATTGTAAACACTTTCACAGCTATTCTCAACCTCATGAGAAGCCCCATTTCTGCAGGATGGGGCTGCAGGTTCACAGAAGCAGCAGGCACTGTAGGAAGCAGTGGCTCTGTGGAGATGCAGGAGGCCACTGAGGAAGCAGAACACATGAGGTTTGCACCAGTTACTCATGTTCTTCTAAGCAAACGTGAACTGCATACCAAATGCCACAGGATCTAAAGAACACCTCTCATGGTGAGCATTAATGAAATAATTCTACTAACTGTATCTCATTTTACACTTTACATACATTTCATTTGGGTCTTACAAAAACACTGACATAAATCTATTATTCTGTTTTAGAAATGAGGAAAATTAGTCTCAGCAGAGTCTTTTAAGAAGGACTCAGAATCAGGCATGCTGATCAAAAGGCCGTGCTTTATTCCCTATTACTCTAGGTCCCTGTATAAAATATATATGATCATCAACTTTTAAATATAAGATATTTTAAGTATAAAATACATGTTAATATGTTATATCGCTTGTAATCCCAGATCTTTTGGAGGCAAAGGCAGGCAGACTGCCTGAGCTCAGGAGTTCATGACCAGGCTGGGCAACACGGTGAAACCCTGTCTCTAATAAAACACAAAAATTTAGCCAGGCATGGCGGTGTGCACCTGTAATCCCAGCTACTTGGGAAGCTGAGGCAGAAGAATTGCTTGAACCCAGGAGGCGGAGGTTGCAGTGAGCCAAGATTGCGCCACTGCACTCCAGCCTGAGCAACAAAGATTCCA